GTCCCGGAGCCGGTCAGCGCCAGCACGTGCCGCGCCGCCGCCGCCTGCAGGTCCACCCGCACGCCGGGCGCCAGGAAGGGCAGCAGCTGTGCCGGCCCTGCCTCCGCGCCTGCCTCCCACGCTCCGTCGGACGCGTCCGTGCCCGCCCCGATCTCTCCCATGCCCACCGGCCGGTGACGGCAAACGCGCCGCCAGCCGCTCGGATCCGCTCCGCCACACTCGGGCCCTGGCGGAGGGCCAGGGCCCACCCACCAGAGAAACGGAAGTCGCAGCAACCAATCCGAGGCGTGGAGGCGTGGTCAGGGAGGGGCGCGGGGTGTTGTGGGACTAGGGGCCGGAAGTCGCCAGAGCGGCGCGGAGCCCAGACTCCCGGGGCTGCCGGTTGTCCCCTTTGCGGCCCGCGCTCCCGGCTCCCCACGGCCCTGCCGGCCCGCCTCCACTCTCGCCAGGAAGCCTCCGCGCCAGGTGGAGTCGGCTCCTGCGCCGGCGCCGGCCCTGGACAGGCCTGGTGCCCGGCTTCGCAGAGGCCGGAGTGTCTTGGTCGGCACACAGCTCTTGGTCCAGGCGGCGTCTGGCCAGTGGAGACCGAGCGGGTTTCCTGGGGTGTGTAGACTTGCTCGTAGCGCCTCTCACTCCTTTCCTGGTCTGCACGTTCCTGGAGAGGGCTCTTTAGATAGGAACAGCAGTTGGCGTAATGGCTATGTCGCTGGACTCCCATGGAGTCTACCGCGTTCGCATCCCGGACTCTCCCGGACTCGGCTTAAACTCGCCAGGCGTGTGTGTGTGTGTGTGTGTGTGTGTGTGTGTGTGATCCCGAGAGGAGAAGGGACTTTCTGGCGAGCGTATAGCAAAAACCACTCCAAACCATCTGCCAGGGTGCACAAGTGTCCTGTTAAGGGACACAGGTGTCCAGCTGGACGCAGGCATTAGGAGGTCCACCCATAGGGAGGCCAGGAAAGGCCTACGAATCCCCAGGGACCCAGCAGGGCAGAATCACTCCACAGACAGACCTCAGGGCCGCGCTAGAAAACAAAAATGGAGACAACAGTGGCTGAGGTTAGGGAGGCAGCTGGGACCTGGCTCCCCCTCCCTGGACATCTGCCCTACCGCGAACCACTTCCCATCTAGGCGTGTAGATTTAAAATAATGCCGAATGGAGGTGCTGACCTGCAGATGGCGTGGGACTCCCATGTAGTTGACTGTGGTTCGAGTCCCAGACCCTGCAGCTAAAAACATCACAGCCATATGTACCCAAAGGGACTGAGGTGTGGCCACTCCCCCCACAAGTGATTTCTCACTTTGTTTTTCCATTGCTGGAAGCTCACATGCCCTATAGGAAAAAAAAAAATCTCTATAATGCTAAATGGGGGATCAGCAGGTGACACAGTGGTTAAGGTCCCGGACGTTCATGTGATTGACTGCAGTTCAAGTCCCAGACTAGTGACTTGAAACTCATGCTAGGTGCGTGTGCATGCATACCCAAACCCCTGAGAGAATGGAGGGGACAGGACTGCGGCGTGGCCACCCTGGGGGTGATTCCTCACTTCCTGTCTCTCCATACCCAACCCCCTGAGAGAATGGAGGGGACAGGACTGCGGCGTGGCCACCCTGGGGGTGATTCCTCACTTCCTGTCTCTCCAGCAGGCGCACATTCTTTCTGTGGTTGGAAAACACACCAGGTGCAGGTGCCTGCCCAGAATGCTGATGGGATGGAGAGGGATTGTGCCTGACCACACCCCGACACCACACTGGGGGGTGTTTTTCTCTCTGGCCAGCATACAGACCCAATGGCAATTCGAAATAATAAGTGGGGCCAGCAGGTGGCATGGTGGTTAAAGCACTGTACTCTAACACGGTCAACCACAATTCAAGTCCTGGACCAGGCAGCTTGAAAAACACCAGGTGCAAGTGCATATGAGCCCAAAATCCCAAGAGGAGATTGGAGACGGGACTGTGGTGTTGCCATCTCCCCTGGGGGTAATTTTGCACTGGTAAATGTATGTGCCTTGTGACAAAAATCTATTAAAAACAGAAAAGAAAGAAAAAGATATTTGGGGGTAGCAGGGGCATGCATGGTGGTTACAAAGACTGGGTCCCACATGCCTGACTAGTTCGAGTCCTGGAACCAGCAGCCCTAGAAGCACTCTGGGCACACATGCAGGGGTACCCGGAATCCTGAGGAGAGAGTGGAGAAGGGATTGCAGCATGGCCATCCCCGTGGTGGGTGATCTCTCATTCTCTCTCTCTCTCTCTCTCTGGCAGGTGCACACACACTATAGCAAACAAACAAAAATTCATGAAAAATGCTTGTTATGGAAATATGACATGGATTTCAATATTTTTCGCACCACAATAAACTCATACTTCAATTTTTCCATAAATTCTTGGAAGTTCCTGCAAACACCACATCCTGAAGGACACGAGGAGATACCCCACTTCGGGTCTCCTTTCCCATAACAGTGTGCTCACATGACAGCAGGAGTGGGGCACCCCAGCGGTGCACACAGCACCCTCGGCGTGTGTGTGTGTGTGTGTGTGTGTGTGTGTGTGTGTGATCCCGAGAGGAGAAGGGACTTTCTGGCGAGCGTATAGCAAAAACCACTCCAAACCATCTGCCAGGGTGCACAAGTGTCCTGTTAAGGGACACAGGTGTCCAGCTGGACGCAGGCATTAGGAGGTCCACCCATAGGGAGGCCAGGAAAGGCCTACGAATCCCCAGGGACCCAGCAGGGCAGAATCACTCCACAGACAGACCTCAGGGCCGCGCTAGAAAACAAAAATGGAGACAACAGTGGCTGAGGTTAGGGAGGCAGCTGGGACCTGGCTCCCCCTCCCTGGACATCTGCCCTACCGCGAACCACTTCCCATCTAGGCGTGTAGATTTAAAATAATGCCGAATGGAGGTGCTGACCTGCAGATGGCGTGGGACTCCCATGTAGTTGACTGTGGTTCGAGTCCCAGACCCTGCAGCTAAAAACATCACAGCCATATGTACCCAAAGGGACTGAGGTGTGGCCACTCCCCCCACAAGTGATTTCTCACTTTGTTTTTCCATTGCTGGAAGCTCACATGCCCTATAGGAAAAAAAAAAATCTCTATAATGCTAAATGGGGGATCAGCAGGTGACACAGTGGTTAAGGTCCCGGACGTTCATGTGATTGACTGCAGTTCAAGTCCCAGACTAGTGACTTGAAACTCATGCTAGGTGCGTGTGCATGCATACCCAAACCCCTGAGAGAATGGAGGGGACAGGACTGCGGCGTGGCCACCCTGGGGGTGATTCCTCACTTCCTGTCTCTCCAGCAGGCGCACATTCTTGCTGTGGTTGGAAAACACACCAGGTGCAGGTGCCTGCCCAGAATGCTGATGGGATGGAGAGGGATTGTGCCTGACCACACCCCGACACCACACTGGGGGGTGTTTTTCTCTCTGGCCAGCATACAGACCCAATGGCAATTCGAAATAATAAGTGGGGCCAGCAGGTGGCATGGTGGTTAAAGCACTGTACTCTAACACGGTCAACCACAATTCAAGTCCTGGACCAGGCAGCTTGAAAAACACCAGGTGCAAGTGCATATGAGCCCAAAATCCCAAGAGGAGATTGGAGACGGGACTGTGGTGTTGCCATCTCCCCTGGGGGTAATTTTGCACTGGTAAATGTATGTGCCTTGTGACAAAAATCTATTAAAAACAGAAAAGAAAGAAAAAGATATTTGGGGGTAGCAGGGGCATGCATGGTGGTTACAAAGACTGGGTCCCACATGCCTGACTAGTTCGAGTCCTGGAACCAGCAGCCCTAGAAGCACTCTGGGCACACATGCAGGGGTACCCGGAATCCTGAGGAGAGAGTGGAGAAGGGATTGCAGCATGGCCATCCCCGTGGTGGGTGATCTCTCATTCTCTCTCTCTCTCTCTCTCTGGCAGGTGCACACACACTATAGCAAACAAACAAAAATTCATGAAAAATGCTTGTTATGGAAATATGACATGGATTTCAATATTTTTCGCACCACAATAAACTCATACTTCAATTTTTCCATAAATTCTTGGAAGTTCCTGCAAACACCACATCCTGAAGGACACGAGGAGATACCCCACTTCGGGTCTCCTTTCCCATAACAGTGTGCTCACATGACAGCAGGAGTGGGGCACCCCAGCGGTGCACACAGCACCCTCCCAGCCCTCCAGGTCAAGACTTCACATGGCCGTGCACACACCCGGCGTGTTTGTAAGTCAGCCCTGGAATCCGAAGCCGTGGCCAGCCGTGCTACTCCCAGCTGTGTGGACGGCACCACCCATGCTGGGCTTCATTGTGCTTCGTTTGTCTTTTTTGGTTTTTAAAATAAATGCACACAGAAGAGCGGGAAGGGCACTCAGTGCTGCGTGGCACCAATATCCCCTCCTGGCCCTCCCTCGTTGGGATGCTGGGCACACACACACGCACCCCGTGTGTCTCAGGTCAGCCAGGCCAGGAACCCAAACCCACAGACAGCCATTGGCTTCCAGCATGGTGGCCAGTACACCAGCAGCTCTGCCGCCACGCTGGGCCCTTTTTCATGTTTCTTAAGGTAGAAACTGAAGTCATTGGTTTGAGACTTTTCATTTCTGTTATAAGACTTTTTCCTCTGGGGCTGGCAGGTGGCATGGTGGTTAAAGGCCCTGGATTCCCACATGGCCAACCACAGTTTGAGTCCCAGAGATGGCAGCTTGCTTTCCTTCTCTCTCTCTCTCTGCCCACCCTGGTCAATTGAAATAAACAAATGAATAAATTAATAAAATTTTTAGAAGATTGTTTTCTCCATTAACTCCTTGACTTGTGTATTATTTCTGTCTGCCTCTGGGTTTTCTGCCAAGGGAGGGGCAAGCAAGTGAGAGGAAGCACCCTGGTAGGACATGGCACACCTAGTCCTGACTCCACACCCTTCTCCTCTTAGGATTTTTGTATGCCTTTTCAAGCCGCTGGGACCAGGATTCAAACCATGCAGTTGGCCACGTAGAACCCGGCTTCTTGAGCACTGGGCCACAGTTACGTGGTTGGCAGGGCTCAGTGTCCCAACCACTCAGGAAGCTAAGACAGGAGGGCCAGCCTGGCAGTGAGACCCTGTCTTGGGGAAGAAATAAAAGACACCCTAAGACTGACAGTGACATCGGATGCTGTTTAGTACTGTTTGGTTCCGGCCGAAGCAGATAGGGAAGGAGCTGACGGGCAGGCATTGTGAAAGGGAGGGCGGTGGGACTG